CCCCCCCCCCCCCCCCAACACACACACACACGTGCACTCAAAAGCATCATTTCAGTGCCTGCCTCTGTGTGCGTGCGTGCGTGTGTGTGTGTGTGTGTATCAGGATGAACTACATCAGTTTGGGCAAGCAGGAGGGCGCCACGCTGCTCACAGGCGGCACACGGCACGGCACACAGGGCTACTGGATCGAGCCCACCATCTTCACAGACGTCAAAGACGACATGCGCATCGCCAAAGAGGTACGTAACCACACCACACACAACACCTCCACCCATCGTCGGCCATCCCCTGTGTGTGATCGCAGGAGATTTTCGGCCCCGTAATGACTGTACTGAAGTTCAAGACGCTCGAAGAGGCCATCGTGCGGGCGAATGCGACCTCATACGGCCTGGGTGCCGGCATCTGCTCGCGCGACATCGGCCGGGCGCTGTCTGTGGCGCACAAGCTGAGGGCGGGCACCATCTACGTCAACTGCTGGAACGTCGTCAAGCCCAACACCCCTTTCGGCGGATACAAACAGTCGGGGGTCGGCAGGTGGGACGCCACACAACACAATACAATACAGACAGACGCGTGAGCTCTCTCTCCCTCTGTGTGTGGTAATGTGTGTGCAGGGAGCTGGGTGAGGATGCGCTGGACAATTACCTGGAGAAGAAGACGGTCATTGTAGATCTCTCATACGAAGATGAGAAGGATGAAAAGGCTGCTGGCGATGCGACGGGTAAGACACCACACAAGGCACACACACACACAGGGAGGGGGGGGGCAGGGAAGGGCAGCAGACACACACCACAGCTGGCCTGCCTGTGTGGCTGTCCCTGTCCGTCCATCACCTTGCCAGCAGGGGGGCCCAACTGATTGCCAGTCGTCTGCAAATGAAGACGGGGCACTTTTTGTGGTGCCCATTTTTTCCATTTTTCGGGACAGTAGCAGTGCGTATGTGACGCTGCTCGCAATCATGCAGCTCTTTTTGCGAGGGCAGGTGCCGTTCATTGGGTCTTCCCAAAGCCCTGTGTGTGTGTGCATGTCGGTCTGTCTTTTTCCTAGACGCAAGCCATATGGCTGGCTGCTGGCGCCTTGATGATTTTACTTTTCGCAATAGCTCGACGAGAATGTGTGTGTCCTTCATGAGAATGAAAGCCGCCTTTTTCCCAGCTAGATGCATCGGCTCGTGTGTGTGCGTGAGACGTTTCCGTTCAGACGAAGTAGGTAACTCACTATGCCCTCTCCCCTCTCTGTCTTCCGGTATACGCACACACACACACACACACACACACAGACAGAGAGAGAGAGAGGGGGGAGACAATCGACCCACCACTCACCCACCCACGCAGCCACACACACACACCTGCATATGGTCTATCGACAGCCACGTACAAAACATACCAACCATTATCCACACATACATCAACACAGACGGACAAACAAATATGCACAACCGCCACCGTCCAGCTACTCGTCATCATCGTCGTCTGCAGTCACACAGACACATCGACCCACATCATCATGTGAGCATTAATTGTCTGTGTGTGGCTGTCGTGCAGACTGCCGCTTGCCTGCCCCCCCTCCGGCTATATCCTCATACGTCAGCTGGTACCGCCCGCACAGCACGCGGCTCGCCCCTGTCAGCTCCCTTCACACACACAGCACAAAGGGCACCATATTGGATTGGACACACCCACGGCTGCAGTCACTTCACTGGCTGCTGGCGTACTCGACATCGCCGCCCTCGCGGAAATCGCACAGCTCGCCGTCGAGGAAGCCGTGCAGCTGCTCCATGAAATCGCGACGGGTGATGCCCCTCAGCTGCCACACACACCAAAGGATATGATGCACACGTCTGCTTGCTTGTGTATGGCTCCTACCGGGTCAGAAGCCCTTATGGGCAGCGAGTAGTAGCCAGTGGCGTCCTCGGTGCTCTCCGTGTTGACGCACCTCTCAAACAGCGTATCCACTGCATGCACACAGCAACCATCGTGACGTCTGCCCCTCTGCCTGCCTTGGTATCTATCATCTCATCTCATCTCATCTCATCACACGCACTCAGTTCCTCCGGGCAGTCGAGCGCGTTGCACACTATCATGCTCGGATAAGGGTAAACCACCTGCAGGCACCAAGAACGAACCAGTGAACAAACGCACCGTCATCCAGGCCTGTGTGCGTCTTGCGGTACAGTACCTTGTTCATGAGTCTGTTGAACTCCCTCCTCTCCTCCCTGCTATCGTTCTCGTACATGTCTTGCTGCATGTCCGGCCGCCAGATGTCGCCGAGATCAAACCCCTCAGGCTCGAAGGGCCTCGTGCCCTGCCTCTCAGCCGCTTTGACCTCCCGGAACACATCCTGAAGCAATCTTTCGTGCCCCGCCGTCGATGCACCCATCTGCCGAGGCACCTCACGCCCGCCTGCTGCCGACGAAGTCATAAGCCCGGCGCCCTTACGGGGTGCTGCAGACGTCTACCAAAGCTGGGATCTCCTTCGAATGGTTACGATCGCTAAATGCGAGCTTAATGGCATCTCCAGGTGGTGCGGTTTTCGATAGTTTGGCGTGTTTGAGGAGCCGTCACATGCTGCTCTCGTGCCGCAGGAAGAACGGCGAGTACGCCCTCGTGTCCAATTGCAAAGTTTGCGAGGCCAACACCATCACGGTGAGAGCGGACCACACACACCAATGCACAGCAGGCAAAAACACCGTGCATGACGTTTCTTCTCCCCCTGTTGAATGCATTCATCCATCCATCGGCAGAAATGTTCGGCGTGTCGCTTCATCTTCTACTGCAGCAAGGTCAGCGGGGGGTGACGGGCAAGGCAAAAGGGGTGCTGGGCTTATGCGTCGACTCCCTGCTGTGTGTGCTGTGTGTGTTGTGTGTGTTGTGTGTGCAGGCGTGCGAGCGGTCGGATTGGCAGGACCACAAGGCCAAGTGCCGTAGGGCGTGCGAGGCCATGGCCGCGGCCAAGGCGGACAACCCCTTCCTGGACGAGATCCTCGGGGCTGCCGAGAAGAAGCTGGTCAGCGAGATCCGCTTCAGCTCCCGAGTCACCGGCCGCACACACCGGATATACTTGCCCGAGAAGTGGCTGGTGGTAGAGGTAACTCGTGGATGTGTGTGCGATGCTGAGAGTCTGCCTGCATCGGGGTTGGTCTTTTTTTCAGGGGAGCAACCCGGGCCTTCCGGTGGTCAGGGCGATGCCGGGGCCGCTGGAGGAGCCGATGCGCGAGTACGAGAGGGACACCATCAAGCCCTGGATCAGGGGCACCGAGGACCATTACAGGGGCAGGAGGCCGCGGGGCGACGAGCACGTGGACGACGGCACCATGTCCGCAGATACTGCCAGGTCAGTAAGCAGTAGCACACACACAACACGCCTCCAGACAGGCAGACAGGCAGGCAGACAGACATAGTGTGTATTTCTCTCTCTCTCTCTCTCTCTGTCTGTGTGTGTGTGTGTGTGCAGGACGCACTTCTCCTGGCCCTCGGTGGCCATCCCGGGTTCACCATCCGTCGCGGGGTGAGCCCATCGGATGTGCGGGCGGGCCTCACGTGTACCGTCAAGAAGGACGAGGTGTGCATGGCGATAGCCCACACGGACGAGTGGTGTGCGTGCCGCACCCCAGACTGGCTCACCGGTGCGCGGCAGCAGCTAGAGAGGGATGGGGGCATAGAGGGCACCCTTCGCGTCTTTCGCTGGGAGCAGTGATTGAGTAGGATCGACGATCGACTGATTGTACAGTGCACCTTAGCAACGGCGGGTGTGTGGTGAGTGAGGCAGAATGAATGCGTGTGTGTGTGTGTGTGCATAGTCGAGCGAGTATGTGTGTGGGGGGCATATGTGTGTCGGGTCTGAATGGACCCATCTACGTGCTCGTGGCCATTCATCGATTCATTCGCTGTGTCCCCTTCCGACGTACGTCCGGACAAAAACCCTTCGCTGGACGTGTCACGACAAAACCTGCCTCACACTCCCACCAATCACACACGACACAGATTACGTACGTACATTCTTCCTGTGAGCATGCAACAAACACATGGACATGACCTCGTGGCTGCGTGGGGCCCTCCCTCTCAGCCACCAGCCACCCATCGACCTGACCTAGCCGCAGCCGCGGACACACCCACCACACCCACCTAAGCACCCCTACGGAAAAAATGCCTACCTGACGCGTCGACACGACAATTCCGGACCGTCCTAAATGCGCACGTGCTTTCACAGCTCCCACCCGCTTCGGCCGCTCAGCGCCTGCCGATCGATGACGAATTAGTCCTGTTGCTCATTTTGCTCACGAGCAGTGTCTGAGTGAATGGACACACACGGCATCCACCGAATGGTCCGTTCTCCCTTTCGTGTCTGAATACGCACCTTTGTATGCCTGGAAATACGCCAAGGCGTATTCAGTGGCCATGTCGTCCAGGGCCGTCTTGTTGCGGCCCACCAGCTCGAAGACAGTAGGAATCAGATACTGATGACGGTCGACCTGCAGACGGACAAACATGGATGTCCACACACACCATGCCGATAAGTGGCTCATTCGGCCGACGTGTGTATCCAGTCTCTTCTGGCGGGGATGTTGACACGATTGGGGCTGAACCACAGATACATCAGGTCATGCAGCACTTGCTGCGCGCACACATGGGCGCACACAAATGGGGATACACAAACACGCATATGCTCATCTGGTGGGCGGATCGCTGAAGATCATTCTGGTCTTGCTCTTGAGCGTACAAAGAGGATGGGTGTAGGCAGGTCGTCGAGGTCCTCCTTCTTGATGTTTTCCATCCCAAATGCGACTGACAGTATGTCCCAGTGCTTCCGCAGCACCGCTTCCGTGAAAGCCTCCCGCAGCCACTGAATCTGCGGCAGCACCTCTCTCTCGGGCCCGTCGAGGGGCGCTGTCTCGTTGTAGCTCACAGACGCCAGGCCGGCCTTCATAAGGCCCTCTGAGAAACACACCTCTGTCTCGTCAGCGGACCATTCTCTCTCCAGACGGGGAATATCAACCTGCACGTTCAGAGAGGTGTCAATGGATGGGTGGGTGTGGATGCTCATGTCTTGCGATTGTGGCGAATCCGTCCTTCTGGTGGTCGGCGTACACCTCGGCCAGCATGAGGAGCTTGTAAGCGAACACAGATAGAGACGCCGGCAAATCAGCCTCCTCTTCATCTGAAAGACAGACAGGCATGCACTCACTCATGGATGACACACGCAGATGAGTGCACATGCACGAACGTACCAGGGTCTGATGACCCTAAGCCAGCGTCGCTCATGCCCAGAACCTTGCCCGTACTGCGATCGACGGTGGGGCCGCCAGAGAAGCCCAGAGGGATGACAGCATCGTGCGACAGCATCAGACCATTCTCGATGTAGCTGGCTTCATCTGATGTGAGGACGATTTGCGATCGCTCTGTCTGTGCATCCCTCCCTCCGTCCCCTCGCTCCTCACCTTTCAGCGTGCCGTAGTTGGTTGCAGGTCCGTCGTAAGGGCTGTAGTTAAGCTTGTCCTCACCCACCTCGACATCAGCTGGGTACAAGGAGCCGCTGTTGGCCAGGTAGCCCATCGTCATGACTGGTGTGCCACCCGTGCCCTCGTTCGTGATGTTTCCCGCCACAAATGCCTCGGGAACAACGCCACCCAGCTTGTCGCTGACATACTGCTTATAGCGCTGCATGGAGGAGGGAAGGCAATGCAGGCACACACATCCACATGGACAGGGGGAAGGCCCATGCTTACGTGCTTACGTCGAGTGTGTATGGCGGGTGGAGCTTCACAAAGGCCACATCCCACCTGGGGCACTTCATGACCACCCGACCCAGCAGCTGTGTCCATCAAGTCACCAGAGAAGCAGCAGTAAGGTGTGCGTATGCCATAACCCCTCTCTTTTTCTCTCTCTCTTTCAGTCCACTTACCGTGCTGTTGGTGATTGTCGACTGGAGGATCACATAGTCTGACAACCGCACAAATGCAGCCAGCTGACATCAGCAGCCGCCCTTCATCCCTGTCACCATGGCTGACCTGCATCGATCACCTTGTCGCTTCGCGTGACGAACAGCGGCTCACGAGGCCCGTCCAGCAGGAAGGTGGAGGCAAGGACATAGGCTGCATACACACACCAACCCAGGCCAAGAGGACAGCATGTATCCACCCATCGTCACTATCATTCGTGTGCTCACCTGCAGGGTCGCCGAGCAGCCCGTTCGGTGACTCAAATCGGTGGGCGGGGATCAGCCGGAAGATGGACGCCTGCAGGGGCAGCGGCACGTCATCCAGACCCCTCTCGTACTTGTCGTAGAGGGACTCCAATCTCGGCCCTTTGACTACCGAGAAAGGGTAGCTGACCGAATCAAGCACATCCCCGGCGCTGCTCGTCGCCCGTCGCTCGACTGAGGATGGCCTCGGAGTCGGGCGATGAGTCGGGCGCTCCTCTTTGGGGCACTGCGAAGCCAGAGGAGCGCCAGACTGCCATGCTGACGCCAAGCAAACACATGCGATGAGAGCAAGGCCGAGTCGGACGATGGACCACATGGTTGGGAAGGGGATAAGGTGGATCTGCCAGGGGAAGATGAAATGCAATTCTCTGAGGGTTTTCGGGTCTAGGGTTTGGGTTCATAAGGGGTCGAGGCGAGATCTTCAAATAAGGGGGCCCCTCGCACAATCAATCAGACAGACAGCCAGTCAGGCGCCGGCAGGCAAGTGTGGCACGGCAGCACGCGTCAATGTGTGTGTCACGGCATGTGTGTATGTGTGACGGCGTGTGTGTGTCTGCGGTGTCCTCTCTTCTCGCATGCACGCGTCTATCTGCTGCCTTCCTGCCGGCCATGCCACGCGTCTTTCTGCTGCCATCCACTCCACTCCATGGACACACACACACACATTAACAGACGGACGGGCAGGCAGACAGCGAAGCAGGCTCTGTACATCAATCAGCCACTCCCCTCGCCCTGCCCCTCCCTCCGGCCAGCAATGGCTATGTGCTGGCAGCCGAATTGCACACAGGCATCATCCACTCATTATGACATGGCAGCGGACACTCGCACTCATCAACATGCACTCATCAACGTACGCTACCCGTCCAGTCCATGGCCAGCCAGTCAGCCATTCTACTCACAGCCAGTCTCTCTGTATGTGTGCCCTCCTTCTGCAATGCTGCCGGCAGCAGGCCGACAGGAGCTAACCCATGCGCCAACCTGACACCACACACACACACACACACACGCATTGACTGACAGAGGTGAGGCCTGTGTGCATCATCTCGCCCGCTTACCGGTTGGTGTGGCATGTGGTATCTACGAGCGCCTTTCCACGATGACGCGTTTGTCCTGTATGCGCATGACGTATGGGGCGTCGCCGAACGCCCGGGCTGCGGCACAGAAGACGCTGACCGCCGAACCGGACAAGGCAGGCCCGTCCGTGAAGCTCGAAGTGGCGGCCTCGGACACGGCGGGGTTGCCGATGATGGCAACCAGCACACCCACGAGCCATCCGTCGAAGTCGTCTTGCCACACACTATCAGGCACTGTCAAGTCTAGAGCCAGCAAATCACACGGGGCAGACAGACAGGCAGGCAGATGCTACATGGCCGGCTTCCTCACTCTTGCCTCTCCCTTGTGTGCGTGTGCGTCCATGCGTGTGTCCGTCCGTGGTGGGGGCGGGGGACATACCGCCACTTACCGGCGGGATCGATGGTCACTTCCTGGATGGCCGGCAAGTCGTGGTTCGCCCACTTCTGCAGACCGTCGATACCGTACTCGACGATGTCAAGCGCCGATATGTCCATCGTCACTGTTAGCTTCTCGGATACCCCCTCGTCACCACCGCCCCCCTGGCCGCTGCCCAGCTGGCCCTTCAGCGCCTCGAGGAAGTACACGGCATCATCAGGCCCCCGAAGACGGATGTGGCGGCATTTGGGCATCTGCTTGGCGACGGCCTTGGCGAGGCTGTCGAGCGTCTCCTGGGTGAAGGGGCCGGCGGCACATCTGAATGTGTGGGCGCGGGGGAAGATGGGGAAGGTGGTCGGGTCTGCGATTGAAATGGCGGGCGTCGCATCTCCACTGTACGTGACCTCGTCTGCTATGGCGGCAAACCCACGAACAACCCTCTGCACCTGATGCCATAGTACACACATAGACCACGCTTGCCCCACGGATGTCATGTGCGTGCAGGAGTGCCGTCATAGTGCGTGTAGCTAGGCTGACACACCTGACGTGACTTGTCCGCCATCCATGTGATCAGCTCTTATGTCCATCTTCGAGCGCCTCTGGGGCTCGTCATCCAAAGGGTACGAGGCCTTAATGACGGTGAGCTGGTCGAGGGCCTGTGGCTGCATCACCGCCTCCGCCAGCCGCCCCACCTCACGCACCAGCTCCTTGTCCGATGCGTCGTCGGTCTGAATGTGCAGCTCGCGAAGGTGGTGGCTGCAGCCCCGACTAAAGAGGGTCTCACGCAGCTCGGCCACATACGTGGAGGACTGCCACCGCAAATCGATGGGACCGATGGACTGGAGGCGGGAGAGGGACTTGCCGTCCTTGGGCGCCATGGACAACAGGCCTTGCTTGACGCTCAAGAGAGTGGTGTTCACATCGAAGTTCTCCAGGTGCTCGCACGCCTCCATCCAGCGGCGAAGACTGCCCTCCATGTCCTCTAGGTCATAACCCAGCTCCCGCTTGAATGTCAGCACTCGCAGACGCGGCGTGTGCCACACCCCCCTGCCGGTGCGGACGGCCGCGTACTTGTAGGGCATCCTGTGCACCTCCTCCAGCTGCGACAGGTCGACGGGGGAGGGGAACGGGGGCAGCGGGTCCGCCGATGTGTCGTGGCGAAATCTGCTGTCGTGGTCGTCGTCGAAGCTGAGGACCTTGATGGACGAAGCGGGCTCTGTCACATGGTGTGCTGGCGGTGCTGTCCCCTCCTCTCCCCTCCTCTCCCCTCTCGTGCTGCACCTCCTCCTGCTCTTCGCTGATGGCCTTGCGGGCCGCCGCATTGCCCTCGATGATCGACACCCAAGTGCCGCGGCACCAGCAGCTTTCGTCGTAGGTGTAGCGGCGAGGGATGGTGAGGCGCAGGTGCGTCAGATGGATCGCGCGCTGCCCCCACTTGTAGGCTGTCTCGAGCGGCATCCTCTCCCACAGCTGGCGCACGCCGCCCTCGGCCGACCCGTCGATGTGCAGGTGCGTGTAATTGGCGGCCGCCTGGGTGAAGAGGGCCTTGCCGAGGAAGGGGAGACGACGCGTCAGCTCCCAGGGGTGATCGAAGCCGAACACACTGGCGAGCTCGTCAGCAGAGAGACGGAGTCGGGCCTGCGGATTAGACACAGACAGACACATCGACACAGACAGAAACGATTTGGTGTGCAGAGGTGGCGGGTCGTTGGCTTTGTGTTCTCACCAGCGGCTGGTCGGGCGGCGGTAGTCCCGATCTATGCTTGATTCGATACGATGGCTGCGGTGAGGCAGCGGCACTCAAATCGGAATCAGCTGCGGCCGCCTGAGTGAAACCGAAAGACAACACCGAAGACAAAGAACGGTCTTCACCGCTCTCTCTTCAACTCATTGTTAATGTGCTTGTCTACCTCAGCGATGGGTTCTTCTGGCGATGCGTCGTCAACATCCGTCTCATCAGCACTCTCACCATCACCACCACCCGCAGCAGCAGCAGCGGGTGAGGCGGCGTCGTTCGTAAGCTGTGGGCCATCTGATGCGGCCGGTGCTCTGGTGGTGAGGGCTCCGACCATCTCACGCAAACTGGATTCGGCAGCAGAGGCGTGGACGGACGCAGCTGTGAGGGAGCGCAGGGCATCACCAGAAGCACCGCCGTCGCGCCGACTCGCACCACAACTCATCTGCAGCAACAAAGCAGGCGCAGAGTGAAGGCAAGAGAGAGTGTGTGTGTGCGTATCTGTATATGTGTTTGATGCGGTGCGTCCCGATTACACGTGCTCACCTCGATGTCCATCTGTAGTTGCCGGATATCCTCTTCCAGCGCGGCCGCCCGGGAACGCAACTGCACGAATGAGGGGACCACACACATCCACAGCAAGCAGGTGCGTGTGGCTGTCCGAAGGCGTCATGCACCGGTTGCAGTATCGATGACCTCCGGATATATGGCGGCGGCACGAGTAAATGGAATGGAGCGATGAGTCAGTCGGGCTGGTGGATAGCCACAAGCAATTCCATCACTCTCAGCCACACTGAACCAAGGCACACGCCCGCTCAGCAGGGTTTCGAGTCAAGGGTTTCGCTTTGTTGTAAACGAAGCAAAGAGCCTCGTGTCTCACCATCGCTTGTGGCTTTGTGGTGGTCAGGCCAGGCGATGGTTCGTTGAGAGGAGGTGTAGCGCATCCCTGTTGGCCAGCAGATGGAGCGCGGCGGCGTGCCAGGCGGCCGCATGCGGTTCCGAGATGACTCGTCGGGTGTCCCGAGCTCTTTGAGCGCCCGGAAGCGACAGACAGATACATGTAAAGACAGGCATCGGCCGACCGGCCCTGGGAGCAAGCCGGTGACCGGCCGCGTGAAGCGGATCCGCCTGTATGTGAACTGGTGTATGAGTAAAGTGGCTCCGCACAACACATATCATGTGTGTAAGGTTGCTTCGATATCAGCACACACACAGGGCCGTCCGCCTTCGTCCACATCCCTAATCACTACCACGCAATGCGCTCGGCACCACGCAGTGCATGGCACGCAACGAACGAACAGAGGAGTCAGTCCATCGATCGTCATATTCACATATCTACAGGGATACTATAGGATATTAGAAAATGGTGGTGTCACCTCACCTGGCCACCAGCTGCATTTCAATCTCGTAGCTACCAGAGGGAAGGTTTAGCCAGAAGCTGTCGCCGTGGCCATCTACCTCCCCACACCTCCCCTCCGTCAGCACGTAGCCTTCCTTCACTCTCTCATAGCACTCCCACGCAAACGACCTCGGTTCGCTCGATCTGGCTTCGTCATCCTCGTCCTCCGACTCATCGTCCGGAGGCAAGGACGCGCACAGATCGAACTTGGCCGGTCGCAGCATCTGCACAAACTTCAAAAAGACCCTCACGGCCGCCTTGCTGCGTAGGCGGGGGCAGGCCAGGTGCTCTATCCTAGGTAAGCGCAGGCCCCACGCAGAAGGCATGCTGTATGGCCACCTGTCGGGCCACTCCCAACTGTATATATGAGCGCCAGGGGGGTGGGCAAAATCGACCTTGTCTAGCTGCTTGAGAGAGAGGTAGGAGATGAGCTCACAGCCTACGGCTAAGCTAGGCAGAAAGCGAAAAAAGACTCCCTTGAGTCTCGTCAAGCCCCCGACGAGGGCTCAGCTTGGATGGGGCAGAGGGCAGACCAGAGAGAGAGAAGTGGGCAGTCACCTCCACACTCAGTTGCTCGACATGCGGGAAGGATCGGCTGGGCGCCGTCTGCCCCCCTCCCTCCCTCTCGGTCATCCACTCGGGGATGCTGTCCACCAGCCTCGTGGCAGTCACGCTGCTGTCGGCTTTGATGACGAGGGTCTTGGCCTTGGGGAAGACGAGCTTGTCACGCCACGAAGGGTGGAGCGCCATGCCACCGAGCTCTAACTCAACCTGAGGCACACGCAGACAAAAAAGATGCTTCTCTGTCAGCTCCTCTCTCCCTCCCTCCCTCCGCTGTCTGCCCATTCCTACCTCTGTCGCCTCTGCTGGCAGCTGTGTGACGATCTCGCTGTAGGGACCGCCGGGAGCTGGCAGGGCGTTGGCACCTTCCCAGCTGCAGTTGATCGATAGCTCGCCGCGGTTAGGCCGCCACTCGACCTGGCAGTTCACCTCTGCCGCCCACTTGTTGATCCCCTCTGCGCCGGCCGCGGCCGCCCCCTGCCCGAAGCTCACGTCGATCGACGCAAACTTCAAAACGAGGCCCAGCTTCTTGCCCACGTCTGCACACACAGAAGAGCAGAGAAGCAAATCAAAACACGTGATGGTCGTATACGGCTTGATCAAGTCACCCTTGCTCTCTGGTTTGGCCCAGTGTTGATTGAGCGTCTCTTTGAGCTGACTGACGCGGTCGATCTCGTCGGGCTCGAAGGCAATGCCGGTGATGGTGGTGATGTGGGGGCAGCCCGACAAGGCGGTGTTGAAGCTGGCCCACGCGCCGGTGATGAACTCGATGTGGCTGGCCTCTAGCCGCTCGATCTTGGGCGACCTCTCAACGAGGCGAGCGAGGGGCTCCGCGTCCTCAGAGCTACTCACGCTGTCGGCTCGGAGGCTCCTGAGGGCGGGGAAGGCCCAGCGACGTTCACTGCAGACAGGGAAGCACAGGGATGCGGCAAGTGCGTCGTCGTTGCTCATTTGCTTGTATACACACCTGACGTGTTCAACGGATGCATGGTCTTGGATATCCATGTCCGTCAGTCGTGGGAAGGGGATCGGATCCCCTGGGGAGCGCTGGGTTGGAATGTGCCTGTCACATGACCAGTTCTCCCACACCCGCAGCTCCTTGAGTGTCGCTCTCGACTCCTCAAGGAACTCAGATACACACGGCAGAATGTCAAATGGGGGCACGTCAGCCGTCTGGATCTTGCTCTGCACACACACACACATGAGTGTACACAGATGGCCATCAAACCGACCATCTCCCGCAGCACCTTGGCTCCCATCTCACCAGGTGACGTAAGTCATCGAGCTTCTGTATCCTCTTGTAACTGTTGATCTCGTCCGCCGTTATAGTGAACCGCCGGAACACGCCGAAGGTCTCGTCGGTGGCCTTCTGTCTGGTCTCCCTGTTGACTTTGGCCATCCGGGAACAGGTGTAGGTGGTGAGGAACGACCCCAGATGGTCACCCATGACGCCTCAGGCAGACCCGGCAGACACGGACGGCCATAACCCTGACACAAGGGACACAAAAAGATGATGAGGCACCTACGGCAGCAGACAGAAATGGTGATGTGGGCCACCTGTGAGCTGCCTCTTTGCTGCTGTGTCCCTCCCGCAGCGCCGCCAACACTAATCGATCCACCTGAAGGCACCACACACCACAAGGCAGCACAGCCGTCGTCACGATGTGTGTCAGTCCATCGATGGGCGGCCGGGGTTGTGTGCACCTTCACTACTTGAAGCAACAGCTGCAGCAGCCGGGCTGGTGTCAACACGCGAGCGCTTCCCGTCACCAGTTGACACCTGAGCACATGAGCCGGTCCGCCTGTGGATGCACTGACGTGTGTGTCTTTCCACTGACCGCTTTGCTGTGCTGTGCCGCCTTGTCGGTCTCATTTGAACTCTCAGACAGGCCGGGGGGACGGTCGTTGACATTGTACAGCCACCGGAAGCCCTTGCCGTTGCTATCCTTGCGCTGACATCCACGCAAATGCACAGACACAAGGACGTGATTGCTTTGTTTGCGCCGTCTATTGGTCGCGCGCCTCTCTGCTGGTCACTCCATCCTTACATGTGTTACTTGTTCGCTGGGGATTTGCGTCAGCTCGGTACTGAGTGTGGCGTTGGCGTCGGTGAGGGTCTTGAGCACATCGGACAATCGGCCTGCCAGCGATGCACAGGCCTGCAAACAGACATACGGACACAGACGGACACAAATCGGTGCTGCTCGACGGTTGCTGAACGTGTTCGTGCTGACCTCTTTGTTTTTGTCGGTCTGTGGTATCCTCAGCTTCGCCGCCTCACTACTCGCGGCCATCTGACAGCTCACCTGCACAAGGCAGCAGAGCCACCAGCAGCTGCGGCATGTGCCAGCAAGCTCTCTCCTTTGCCCTTTTCGTTCACCGCATAGATTTGGTCGATGACATCGCGCAGACTGCCATCGCCACTCGCCCCGCCACCACGCCCCTCTGCAGCACATCATCAGACACACACGTGGGTCGCATCCGCTGTGTGCTTTGATGCGTCATGACCTCCGGGGTCAGTTGGGCCGCTATCACTGCTGTCCATTGGCGGGAGGACACGATCAACCATCTGCACAAAGGAAGGTTATCATAGAGAGGGAGCTGCAGCCATCCTTGTGTGTCTGGTTTGTCAGTTTGCTGGCTCACTGCTCAGGTAGTTTCCGGCGGCCATCGATGCAGCAGCCATCGCAGAGACCCCCGCTGCCCTCAACACGCCCGACCGCCGCGGACGAACCTCAGTCGGATCTGAAAGCATTGATGCCACACAGCCGTCCAGGAAGGGTGCATTCACACGTTTCTGCTGTCGCTGTCCTGCCAGATCTGCCTGCCTGTCTGCCTTTTGTTTTGGCAGTGAGGTACTAGTACGCTAGATGGACGTTCGATGAATTGATCTGACGAAAGGAAACCGCCAGTGCTTTGCCCAGCCGCTCCCCCAAGCATCTGAGGGGTTCAAAGAAGGCGAGAACTGCTCCACCTCTTGCGAGCGTTGAGTGGGTCGACAGGGCCCGGAGAAAGTCCTTTGAACCATCTCGTTGCGATGATGCCATGATAGCCGACTCCCCACAATGCCCGCTGACGAGAAAACCGCCGCTCCCCGGCATGGGCAGCACCCCGACTCATCGTCGCTGTCCGTTGGCGATGCCGTGTGGGTATCGGACCAAGAGGAGGGCTTCGTGAGATGCGTGGTGAGGGAGATCCATGGAGAGGGCACGGACGAGGCCAAAGTGGTGGTCGAGGTCGACGGCAGCCGTGGCCCTGACCAGCACACAGGTGGGGAGGGAGGAGGGATGGTCCATGGCTTTTTTCTGTTGTTGCTTTGATGCATTCATAGGTCCGAGGCTGCACACCATCGCTCTGCGTGAGTTGTGCCCGCCGCACCGCGTGTATGAGCCTCTCGACGTGGATGACACCACTAAGCTCATCTCGCTCGACACGCCGAGCATCCTCGCGAACCTGCGGAATAGATACGGCCTCGACAAGGTCAGAGAAAGAGGGACAGAGAAGCCCCCAGTCCATTGCCCCTCTTGTGTGTCGTGCGATGGTCATCCAGATATACACGTACGTAGCCAACGTGTTGATAGCTGTCAACCCCTACCACGAGATGCACGGCCTGTACGGCGACGCCACGTGCGGGCGCTATCGCAACCAGCCCCTCGGCTCCCTCCCACCACACCCATTCGCCATCGCAGACACGGCCTACCGCGCCATGCGGTTCGACAAACAGTCACAGGTATGTGTGTGTGTGTGTGTGTGTATGTACGTCCCGACACACCACCCAATGCGTTCAGGCGCCCACACACGGAGTGTGTTGTGTGTGTTGTGTCACTGTCAGGCGATTGTAGTGTCTGGTGAGTCGGGTGCGGGCAAGACCGAGACGGCCAAGTACCTCATGAGATACCTCGCCTTCCTGGGCGGCTCGCCCGCATCCGAGGCGGCCGGCCGCCCGTCCATCGACCCCTCCGGCTCGTCCAAACGCCCTTCCCCTCTCCCCACTCGGCTCGACAGCCACCACCAGCAGGCATACAGACCGCCTAAGGGTCGCTCGGGCACCCCAGCGCCCATGCGCTGCGTGCCATCGGTGCAGGAGAAGATCCTGGGGGCCAACCCGATACTGGAGAGCATCGGCAACGCCGTGACGACGCGCAACGTCAACAGCTCCCGGTTCGGGCGGCTGAACAAGCTGTACTTCGACGCCAAGGGGCGGCTGGTGGGGGCGGGCATCACGACGTATTTGCTGGAGAGCAGCCGCGTGGTGCTGCACGGCAAGGGCGAGAGGAACTACCACATCTTCTATGAGATGCTCGCAGGCCTGGAGGAAAGTAAGCAGAAGAAAATCCGAGCACAATGCGAAACAGCCCTTCCCTCCCTCTCTCCTTCGGTGTGTGCAGGTGAGCTGCGCAAGTTGGATTTGGAGAAGGACTGGCGCCGATACAACCTCCTCAACCAGGGAGGCACCACAACCACGCCAGCAGCTGCAGACGAGCAGGCCCCTCCCTCTTCATCTTCATCGCGCCCCTCTCACCCCCACCCCGCCAGCAACGCCCAGACGCGCCGCGACCGTGAGAACTGGGCCAACTTCCGTCGCGCGCTGCGGTCCTACGGCATCACGGCCAGGGAGGAGGAGGGCATACGGGAGATACTTGCAGGTCCGTGGGGAGGAGGGATGAGACGCGGGAGCTGTCCATGTGTGTGTCTGTGTTCTTATCATGTGCAGCGATCCTGATCCTGGGCAATCTGCAGATAACTCAGGTCGGTCAGCACAGGGGAGCTGTGGCAAATGGGATGGCTCCATTGATCGATTTGGCGTCCTGTGTGCCTGTCTGCCTGCCGCTGGTTGGCTCAGGAGGAGGACCCGGAGGATGGTGTGTGTGGTGGCGATAGCGAGGGCACGGGTGAAGATGGCGGCAGGAGCAGCGTGGCGGAGTCGGCCAGCGATGCTAACAAGAGCGGAGCGGGCAGAGAGGGGCAGGTGCGTATGTGACGGACGGATGCAACACACACAAAGAGATGGCCACACCGGTGTGATGGATGCATCTGGGGATCTGTCTATCTGTATGTGCGTGTGTGTGTGTAGGGTGGTGACGCGAGGAGGATATCTGTGGGCCCCGCAAACCAGATTCAGTCGGCTGCTCAGAAACTAGGTCGGCCAGAAAGGCAGATGGTCCATCCACTCCACACAACTGCACGGAAGCTATTCCGTCCATGTGGCCTTGTGTGCAATCAATAGGTATGGACCCTCCCTGCCTCTTCGACATCCTCACCAGACGGTTAGCTAGTCGGTTCAGCCACCATCAACCACGTGTGTCTGTGTG